ATTCTCTCTGTTTCATAAAAAAAATATCGAAATTTTGAAAAACGGGATGAGTTATGAAGGATTGTATGAAATTGTTGTTGTACAAACGATTTCTTTTGTAAATCTTCATGTTCATCGAATATCTTTTCGATTTTGATTCAAGATTATCGAAAATTTTGAGATTCTAAATTCTTATCCAGTCATTGAAGATCCTTTCCATTTTGATTCAAAATTGATAATAATTTTGAATTTCAAAATTATTCTCCTAGTTCATTGAAGATTCTTTCAATTTTGATTAAAAATTATCAAAATTTTCGAGAAGATACACCATGAAGATCCTTTCAATATAAATTGATAAGTGTTGTATTTCTACTAGGTACACTTAATAAGAAAGTGTTGCCTATAAAATTTTAGGTTTGAGATCAATACATTATTATTTGGCAATTGTTATGTTACGCATACATTTAGTATAAATTCAAATTTATATATCATAACTAAAAAAATTAGTGCATGATATATATTATTATTTATATATGTTCTTTTGTTTGAGATCATGACGATCCTTTCGATTGAATTGATAAATATTATATTTTTACTAGATACATTAAATAAGTGTCGCCCATAAGATTGTAAGTTTGAGATCGATAGATTATGGTTTGATAATTGTTATGTATAATATACATCTAAAATAAATTTGAATTTACGTATTATAATTAAAAAATAGTGTTTGATACATTATTATTTATGTCTGTTATTTTATTTGAGAAATACAACACTTTCAAATTTTTAAAAAATACATCATAGTAATTGTTTGAGATCATACATTATTGTTTGGTAATTGTTATATATCAGATACATTTTAGTATAAATTTGAATTTACGTATCATAACTAAAATAAGCGTTGATACATTAATCGTTAAGTAAGATACATTACATTTTATACATGATACATTAATCTGATGCGTGAGATACATTAATCTGATGCGCTGATACATTAATTTAATGCGCAAAAATGAGGGATTTTGAAAATTTGTAAAACAATAGATTTAAAGCTCGAGCATGTGTCCTTCCTCGATTTCTTCACTCACAAATGTATCACGAATATAATTTGATATTGTGTACGAAAACATAGTCTTCTAAATTTGAATAACCGTAGAATATACATAGCAACACTTGATACATGAACAAATGGTATATTTGGTAGAGACTACTTCTTTTCATTTCATAATGTAGTTTCAACAACAAAAGAGGATCTCCTAAAACTGATTTTTTTGCAGGAAACAATATGAATACATTATATCTTTTACATTTCTCTTATGCATATTGTGAAGGTGAAAATGGAGGAAAATCCGATAATTCTTAGGAAAAAATTATAAAGCGAAAATTTGAGTTGTTTTGAAAAAAATTGTGGAGAGATAGTACTGAAAATAGAGAGAATTAAATCTGAAAATTAATAAATAAAGGAAGTAAAGATTGAGGGAGTGAAAATAGGAAGAGATAGAGTGAGTAAAAATAGGAAGAGGTTGAGGGAGTGAAAGAACGAGTAAAAATAGAAAAAAAACGTGTATAACTTTATGTATCTGGAACTATGAATTTGAAAGGAAAAAGAGGGATTTTTGAAATATTTTTAAATGATAGGGAATAATAAAAATTATGGAAAATAAAGTTGTGTATATAGGTAATTTATCCTATTTTTTTTATATTTTTAATTAACTTTTCTTTTGTTAGCTATATTATACATTAATTAATTTTCAAGTAATTATTAAAATTCTCTAATAATTATATTTTTTTCATAGCAAAACTATAGCATGATAAAAATTTTAATAATGACCGCCAAAAACACTAATCGAAACATGAAACTGATTTATGGAGTGAAAAATTCTATTGTTTCTTGCAAAAAAATCCGCCAGAGATGCAGCGGCGAAGAAAACACCAATTTTTTATCTCGCAGATGCCATTAAGAAATATTTTTGTTAACAAACACAAATCAAAACCCACAAAACTTAAATTGATGTTAATTAATTTGCTGAACAAGCTGAGAAGAAGTCGAAGAAGGAGAGATTTGTGCTTAAAAGAAAGGGAGAAAAATGTGTTTTATCAAGAGGGTGGGGTTGAACAAGAAGAAAGTGCATTGTGAATCTAATTAATTTTTTTTTCTATTTTAATAAATTCAATGCATTTATATTATTTTTAAAAAAAATAATTTTGCCACATTAATTTTAGGAGTAAATAAATTTACTATCATCGTAATAACTTAAAGCGTAAACCTCTGACCTTAGGAAACAAATTTAAAAGCAGATCAATGCCTTTTCCCTTTAGATATGTTTGATCCTTTCTTACATTTGACCTTTTTTTTTAATTCAATCATAATTTAAGTTTTAAATTTTTCAATATAAATCTTTTCGGCTATCATTATAAAAGAAGAAAAAGAAATAGAAACTAAGATAATTTTTTATTTTGCAGCTATTGTATAGTAACTATTTTTGTATCTAAAAAAAATGGGTAACTTTTTTTGTATCTAAAAAAATGGGTAATTTATGATAAATTTTATAAGAAAATGAGTGTAAAAAAAAATCTAAATATGAAATATGAAATACAAATCAATATATATATATAAATGAGGATCATAGAGGAGGTGATGTGGCACCTCTCTATGACCTCCACTCATTTTTTATTTTTTTTACTTGATATTTTTTCTTATTCTTTTCAATTATTTTTTTTATAAATTCTATTTTTAAATTAGTACTAATAATATTCATAACCCTCAAACCTTTCATATTCATAACCTCTTAAACCTTTCATATTCATAACTTCTAATTATTTAATGTGAAATGTTACACTAACACTATAAAATCACACTTTGTTATTTTGTAGTCATCTTTGGTAGAGAATTAGTGGGAAAAAATGTTACAATATTTGTAAGTTTTGAGGTGCATTATTTTTTCAAATATTATTTCATATATTACTTTTATTAGCAAGTAAGGCTAATATGTCATCATAATTTTATTTCTTCTAGATAAATTATTTTGTTTTGTTATCTTTGAGATTTATTTTATGACTAATAATGTATTTGTTATTATTTTTCTTGACTCTTGTATATAGGATGAAATGATAACATCAAGCGACGAAGATTAGTGAATTTTGAATTAAATATATTGATTATTTGTCCAAAATGATTATGTAGGAGAATTTATGATTAAATGTAATTTTTCATTATTCTTTATGAGATATAATATTTTATTTTCTTAACTTTGAGATTCATTTTAGGACTAATAATTTATTTGTTATTATTTTTCTTGACTCTTGTATATAGGATAAAATGAGATTATTCAGAGATGGAGATTAATGGATTTTGAGCTATATAATGATTATTCTTTATCTTTTTAGGTCCTTAAGAAGTAATGTTTCTATTATATTATTTCCTTTTGAATTATTTATATTTTGTCAAAAATGATTATATGTGTTTAAATGTAATTTTCTCCTTATTCTTTATCTTTTTCTTCTTTTGGTAGATAACTTTTTAACTTATTGAATCAGATTTGCTGATAA